TGTTGCTCTGAATGTGTTAATTCCTGTGTTGTGGTTGCAAAACTATTAAGATTTTTCTCAAGAAATGCTTTTAGTTGTTTCAAAGAAGCATCTTTTAATTTTTCACAGGTTGTATATTTTCCTGAATCATTACCAATTTCTACTTGAATATCATTCTCTTCTATTTGAACTTTATAAGCAGCTTGTAGATCCATACTATTCCTATAGTATTGATAAGTTTATACTGTCTTTACAATTTCTCTACAGTTATCACATTGGCCTTCATTTCCCAAATTTTTCAAACACCAACATGTAGTCGATCTCGTCTAATTTCTATTTTGTTATACATCCATTTCATATTCAATTTGTTATAAATATATTTCAAGATATTCCTTTCCATTTATTTGGATTACTTCCTCTTTTTCTTTGAAAACAATAGTAAAACATTGTTGAATATCGATATCTTCCTCCTCTTCAAATTCTAATTCATCTACTATTATTTTAGACTTAATTGGTGTAAACCTTTCTAGATGTATGTCCTGTGTACAAGTTATAGGCGTCATAGAAGTTTGATCTCCTTGTTGTATGACTAGAATGCCAGTATCATAGTTAATGATTGCGCAAACTTTTTGCAACCAAGTGTTTTCTAAAATAATATTATATTCTATAGCATTGGTTACTAGCATATCTTCATTAACAGTTATTCCATTAACTTTTACTGTAACTCCTTTAATTATTCCTAAAGGTATCATAGTTTTTCCATCCACTTCCATGATTTTTGTTTTTACAGGTTCATCAATTTCCTTATTGATTTGCCTAAGATACTACCGAGTAATGATACTTCTTACAGATCCAGTATCTACTAGAGCATTTATAGGATATCCTTCCACTTGGGCTTCAATAAACAATGCATTCTTGATAGGTTCATCACGTGCTGTATTACTAATAATAATGTGTTCCTTTAATTTAGATATGAAAAGTTCTCCATATTTATTATGTGTTGGTGTTAGTTCATTTAGACCAGCCATTTGTAAATATTCATCAAACTCAAAATGTTGCCAATCGCTATGTTTGGTAGATTCAGTATATTGAGGTATTTCCTTATTTAGCTTTACTTTATATACGTCACAATTATATGTAGGATCATTTAAGATGTATTCTAAGCGATCTTCATCCAATTGTATTTCAGTTTCTTCATCAATTTCTCGAATCATAGTCCTTATCAATGATTCCTCTAATTCAACCTTCCCACTGACTGTTTGCCATAAGTTATACATTTCCTTATTTGGGTCAATTCGTTTTGAAAGATAGATTCCTTTGTCATCATATAAGATCCCTAATACATACTTTGGCCTCTTTTTAACAGTAACTTCTCCTTGTTGTTGGAGATCTACTAGTTTAATTGGCTGATTTTTACTGAAAATCCTTTCATCAGTTAGTGGATCCTTCCATTTTACTTCTTTACATTCGCATCGTGCTGCTATTTCTTTAGTAATCTTATTACAATTTGTGCATACAATATGACTATGGTGGTTATATTTTCCACAACTAGAGTGATCATATTTGTTTTCATATGGTCCTCTGAATTATATTTTTGAATTCATTCCTCTATATACATAAGATACTTCTATTAAACTTGCTTTTATTTTTGCTTCGCCTTGACTATTCTCTTTTGCTTCTTTCTTTTCTTTTGCTTTTAGGAGGTTTGGTTTGTTCGCACACTCACCCCTAAGAGGTGCGATTTCTAGTTTAAATGCTGTTGGTTATTATTATTATTACTGTTATTATTGTAATTATTATTTTCATTATTTCTATAATTCTTATTCCTGATATTACTGCGGTTACGATTTCTATTGTTATCATTTTGAAAATTTCGACCTCTATTATTGTTTGTACTCCTGCAATCTCTGGTGAAATGGCCATACTTCCCACAGTTAAAGCATTCAATATTTGATTGGTCATTGTTTATATGCCGATTACTTCTACAATCTCTAGACAAAAATTTTCTACAATTAAAACATTCGCGTGGCTATTGTTGTAGCTGTTACTGCTACTGTTGTTGTTGTTGCTGCTGTTGTCCAATGTTTGCCATAATCGCTTGTAACCCTTCATTTAGTTTGCGATTAATAGTGCCCTCAATATCTGGTTGCTGTGTAATATATGTAGGTTGCATTGCTATACTTGTGCGAGCTGGTACCATTCCTCCTTGTAATAATTGTATGTAATTAGGCATCAATAAATAGGCAGATAATTCCATTCCAATGGAGTATGCAGATTCTACTGCTCTGGCCTTTTCGATTGCTTGATCTACTATTGTTGGCATTGCTATTTGTATTGGTACCATAAATTCTGGTCGTAACCCTTCAATAAATTCAGCAACTCTATCCATCTTAGCTCGCCTATACTGTGGGTCGACTCGCTTCTATAGTTCTCCTATTGCTACCACATATTTCTCAATCATTTTACCTGGTTACTGTGTCTTATGCCTAAGCTGATGCTTCTATTAATTTTGTCGAAATGCATTGCAGAAATGTTGTTCAAATAATGGTACGAAGGAAGTACCGGGATTGATTCTACTATTCCAGTTAGTAACATATTGTTGTTGGAACTATGTCAATGCTGTTCCTGTTAAATAACTGGAAACTATTTCAACCATTTGAGTAATATTGATACAGTTTGCTTTACAAGCTCGTTTAAAAGCCTCAAGCTATTCCACTAGGTCCTGATTCCCTCCTCTAAATGTTGGTAAATCTACCAATTATTATTCTCTTGTTTATTATCCTTGAAGTTATCCTGCTAGCCTTTGTATGACTTAGAGGTAGGCATTGTCATTGTTTTCTCCTACTGGTACTATAGCTGGTTGAGATGTAAGTATTGGCTGAGAGGTGTTTATATTATTTGACAGTTGACTGCTAGGTATTGACTGAGAAGTTGTTATGCTGGTTAATCAAGAACTACCCCCCAGAAGTTTGATGGTGGTCGCATATTATATGGTTAGGTTACTGTTGTTAACTATGGGGTTCCTTTGGTAGTTATATTTTGATATCCCATTGTATTATTTCCTCTGTTACTTGAGTTACTTTCAAGCCAACAATTATTTACTGGTTGCCAGTTTGCAGTTGTAAAACTAGAGGTTGTAGATGGGTTGCTATTTTGGAAAGAATCAAGTAGTGCTAAGGGGTCAAATATATGACTATATTGAGTTGCTTGGGAAAAATTGTAGGGATTTCCCAATAATGATCTACTATTTGTATTTCCTACCGATGGAGTTGTTACTCTTAAATTTGATAGCCTTAACGATTGATTACTGGATAATGTTAAGGCTACTAATTGTTGAACATTTTCTGTCCTAACAGGGGATGGAAATCTTCTATTATTACTTGTATTAAATGTAACTCTTCGAGGTATTCTACTTAGGATTCCTCCTTTTTTTAGTTCATTTGCATTGTCAAAGAAAAATGTTCCCTGTAATGTTTCATTATCGTCATTAACATATCCAAATAGGATATTTTGTTCATAATCAGGGACATATGTATCATTTTCTTCTTCGTCATATTGCTTCCTATCTCCCAGATATAGTTGTCGTGGTTGTATATACGATTGTATATTAGATAGTGGTTGAGGTGTGGTAGTTCCTGATGGTGATCCATACATTGTTACTGGCAGTATCATCCCTGAGAAACTTTCATTGCTTCCTTGAAAAGGTGCTATAATAGTATCATTTTGATTCCTTTCCATATTTTCTGAAGTATCACTACAATTGCTGTTTATAATTGAGTCAGTACTGCTAACACTTTCAATTTCCCACGATTGAAACTGTTTTGTTTTTACCCAAATTTGATATAATTTATCAGCGATGCTATCAAAGGATTCCTTTAGTATGTT